CCCGCCCCTCCCCCTCTCCTCCCGTTGACCGAAAAAGCTCCCCATTGTAACCACTAATCGGATGCGAACCCCGCCGCCGCATTTTGTAGCTATATTTACCTAACGGCAGGCAGACGTGTGTGCCCTTGTGCCTATACTCTGTAATTGGAAAGGTGACGTGCGTCGCCTCAAATCGGCGCGACACGTCGAAAAAAGGCAACGTCTCTAAATTGTGACCCCAACAATGCTCCGCGTGCGACCGAAACGGGGTCACGAGATTGTCGCCGAGAAAAAGGTGACACGGCGTGTGTCGCCAACAAAAGGGTCACAATTTAGAGACGGTTCGTTTTTTTTTTCGACGTGTCGCCGATTTAACGTGAAACATGTCACCTTTACATTTACAGTGTACCCATAACGCCCTCTAGCCCTGAGCGACTTGGCAACCTGCTCACGAGAGTGCATACAAATCGGAGTAATTTCAAAATTCGGCAGTTTTTTTCCCATCTACCTGTATAGGCACTAAACTGTAAATTTCCTTTGCACCCCTGAAAAGGCTCGACTTGGTACCTTTGTTTCGCCAGTTTAACTCCAACTCTCAACTTGGATTTCTATCCGCAGAGAAATGGAAGCCCAAGCTGTGCTCCCTGGACGAGATCTTCAAGGGCGTGATGCTGGTGCTGGAGGCGGCCATCTCCGAGCCGCGGACGCAGGTGTGCGGCGTGCAGGTCATCCTGGACATGGACGGTCTCGCCCTCACGCACGTGTGGCAGTTCACTCCGGGCTTCGCCAAGGCCGTCGTGGAGTGGGTGCAGGTGAGCGCCCGGCGGTTAGGCAACCCATCCTGGCCCCGTGTCTACCAACTCAACTAAGCCAGTTTTTACGACAGTCTCATCAATTTTCTTTACCTCTTTGTTGATACAGGATTGCATCCCAGTTCGACTGAAGGGTGTTCACATTATTAATCAGCCCTACGTGTTCAATATGGTGTTTGCCATCTTTAAACCACTGCTCAACGCCAAGTTACGAAATAGGGTACGTGAAGGTTTCTCTTTGTTTTATCTATCACTCGAACTTCTTGGGAATCTCAATAAATAATACAAGTTGGTTTTCTGCATTTCAGATTCATTTCCATGGCACTGACCGGCAGTCCCTTCTCAATCATGTAGATGCAAAATGCTTGCCCAAGACCTATGGTGGGGAAGTGAATATTCCAGAGTTTCCTGGAGGAAAGCTATGTGATCTCCTTTCCAATTATGATTCCCACTATGAGAGTAAGTCGTGATTATATTTTACCTTTACTGCTTGTGAATGTAAGGACATGTGTTTTAAAGAAAACAAATTTCTTTTTGCAGTGCGGAATCAAAATGGCTACAGCAAGAAGACTTAGGTGATGAGAAGAAATATTTTTTTACTTTGATACATTGGTAACATCATTTTAAAGCGCTATTGCCCTTGGAGCAGCAGAATGTAGCGGGGTACTATGACGCCAATGTCTTTTAAGCTAGTTACAAATCATTTCTGCACGTGAAGTTAAGTCATTCTTTAT